CCGCCCGGGACCAGGGCTTGTCCCCTCCTCGCAGGCAGGAGCTAAAGCTCCTCACCGTCACAAACCGACGAGTTGGGGAATAATCCCCACCCTGGTGTTTCGAATCCTCTCACTGAGCGTCTGGCAGTCAGTCCATTTCTTCTTGGGCATTTTATCTCGGAAGTTATTTCTCCTTTAATTTTTCTTTAGAGTTATGGTAGTTCTTTCTCCTGTCTTTTGCACTGAAATCTGAAGCTTTCTGTTAAGCACAGGTGTCTTTCATGAATTCTTTTGTATTTTTGCCTACTGGAAAGTGAATGTGCACACTACAAAACCTTGCAAACTTACATTTGCATGGTGCTTTGTCACATGATTTTTATTAGACAAGTATTTAATCCTCGAGCTGGTAAGTTTGGTTCTTTTGGAGTGGAAGAACATGATACATGCCTATGTGAAGGCGTCTGTATAAAGACTATTTATAGATTTGCTTCTTTACCCATCCCTTTCATACAGGCAGTATATTCTTTCAAGTGTTGTTATGGCATCACAACTATTTTTCTCTTAAGTGTGGCTGTTTTGATCTTGACTTAAAATGATGTCTCATATGAATGACCCTGAGCCATCTCCAATTAATGTTGAGAGGCAAAGAGAGAAGTTAACCAAAAGATTAACAAAGAGAAGGGTCTAAGTAGTAGTGAGAAGCTGCTTTTACTGAGATACTGGTCAGTTTTGTGAAGGAACTCACATTTGTTACATAAAAGTGGTTGCTCGAGTTACAGCTGTGCAATCAGACTTTTTTTCCTGTGTAAAGTCAACAGAAGTGGAGATAACTTATTATTTCTCTTTGCTAGTGTTTATCGACTTACTGTGCACAATTGTTTAGGTAGGGGTTCTTACCTTCAAAATGTTGTGTTCCTTGCTAACATACCTTTCTCTTTTTATGCCATGTCTGTATCGCTGAGGAAGCTTCCTCTTTGCTTTCCCTGCAATTATATTAGTCATGTATTTTTTTCTTTTGTGTTAACCATGCAGCTTTTTAAATTGTGCAAAATATTTAAGTAAATGAAAGTGTGCATGCATGTTTGCTTTTTTAAAATGCTCATACTGCAGCGAAGTAATTGGCATTTAACCTACAAATATCATGAGTGGCACAAGTATCGCTTGCGATCTTGGGTCAGCAAAACTGGCTTTTGTCCTCAAACTGGATGCTTTCATCGTAGGTGGGCTGGGTTTGCCAGATGCTGTACAGATGCGGTGCAGACGCCGTGGCCTTGGGAGCTCATGGTGTGTGGCTCTGCTGCATGTCTTGCTGCTACTTGTGCTCCAGAATCAGAAGTGAGCGCTGATACGGAAACGTGGATTTATGAGTTGACCTTCATTTTAGTATCTCTTACTGTATAATCTTCTGGGACTAAAAATACACCAAGCAGCTAGTATGCTCTAATAAGCACAGCTCTGCCTCAGAGGAGTTGGTCATAGAGCATTTGTTACAGACGTTCTGTGGTGACTTGATTTTTCAAAGACGCGTGCACAGCTCCTCTGGTTTCACCTGTGGAAACTGAGTACTGCTGTCCAGCGTTATCATTCTTGTTAATCTGCAGTGCTTTTTACAGGGTTTCTGTCTTAAGTTTACTGAATCTCTGCAGGTAGTTGGATGAAATCAACAGGTTATTCTTAATTTTGAGTACTTTTGAATTTCTGAAACCTTAAACTTTGAATGGCATAATCTTTTGGTAATCCGATGCCATAATTTCTGTAGATAAAGCTTCGAGAACCCTAGAGCTCAACAAAGGTCCAGTTGTATGTATACATTATAAGCTAGCATCTGGCTTCTGTATATAAGTTTTACAAAAGATCTCTGTTAGGTGTTCAATTAATAAAGTGGTCATCTTAAGATTGTTTAGCAGACAGCTTCACATGAAGTTTGTTTTGGAGTGTGAGCTGCTATAGTAAAGTACTAACGAGTGTCTGTTTATGCAAGTACACAACTTGACTCAAAGCTGTGCTAACGCTCTGAGGCTTTGTGAGTGAAGTAGTTAGAAAGGTGCATGTCAAGATGTTATTCATACTTTTCACTCTCCCTGAGGTTTCTTTTTCTTACGTACTGCCAAACAATGCATAAATTTGAGCTGCTTGTCCATGAGGAAGGGTCTGAGCATGACATGGAGATGGAGGAATGAACCAAATAATGTAATGACTTAAAGCCTAGAGGACACTGGCAGCTAGAAATGGATTTGACGTTTCCCGACTTTATTACACTAACAGTACAACTTTCACACCAGATGTGGTTTTTGCATCATGAATTAAATTTATTAGGTCATTCTATTCCAAGAAGTTGAAGTCAGCATCTAATGCGATCTGCTTAGAAATGAGTAGGTCATCCACAAGTAAGAACTCTTATTCAGTACAGCTACTCGTATTATTGTGGGTTTGGTTTGGTTTTTTGTGATGGTTGACTTTTTTCTGCTTGGCTGAGTGGGGCTGGCTTCCTCAAGACTTGCCCAACACCTAGGAAGATAGATGTAAAAACTTGTGTATCCTCAGTGCCCATTTTGTGTTCCTCCATCATGCTTCCCATACTTTGGCCTGTCCTTCCGTGCCCATGACAAGGCAGCGGATAACTTGCAAGGCATCCGTCCATGATTCAGCTAATTGCTCCTACCGGTGTTTTGATTTTCAGTGTTCAATTGGTTCTTCCTGTAGCTGTAATTGCTGAATACACTTGACCCTGTCTGAATTAAAAATGTAATGTTATAAGATAATTACCAGGAAAGTTTTAATGCTATAGTTATGTGATGTCTAATGCACTTTGTATTTCAAATGACTTTTTCCTCAACTATAATTCAGATTCCATGCTAGTTTCCATTGTTGGAATGGCACTGTACACGGGCTATGTGTTCATGCCTCAGCACATCATGGCAATATTGCACTACTTTGAAATTGTGCAGTGATGAAGAACATATTTTCAAGAAGTAATTGGGCTTTGAAATCTGGTCTACAAAGAAGAATGAACCTCTTAGTTTTAACAAGACTTCTACCGATACCAGAAAGACACAGTTATGACTCTGAAGACTAGGAAACGAGATATGTAGAGCAGGGACGTGAGATGTCCCCTGTGTTGTGTTCATTCCTTTTAATTTTACAAGATATGCCCTTGTATAGTAGTTTTGTCTACTTTAACATTGTGATTGTACTTTGATATCAGTATTTTCTTAACTTTGTGACAGTTTCAATATTGCACTGTGAAAGCTTTTCTTAATTGTAATTTTGAGTAAATCTTAATTGCCTTCTATTTTTAATCGGAAAATCATCTTATTAAATGGGGCTTAAAGCTTTTGCTATTGTACGGTATGTATTTGCCTGGGTATTTCTATTAATGCGTTTTGTAAGAAAATACATCTAGATTCATATTAGAGACGTGGATATATTCGTCTAACGCTATTTACAAAAGTTAGTTTGTATGACTGAACTCAGGTGTACTGTTTGCTGTCCAGACTTTGTTCAACAGTATATTTGTGCATATCACCTAAATTTGGAATTGGCAATTATTTCAAGTTTCTGTATTCCACCAGTTGGAGAAGGGTGGGGGAGATAAGGCATTGAGGCAGAGCGAAGACTGCGTTCATTAGCTTTGGAGTAGTGCTGTGGTTCTGGGCTTTACCTAGTCCAGGGAGAAGGACTTTTCTTTGCAGACATAGGCCCACATAAGGCTTTGGGATAGCACTTTAAATCGACTCTGTTTTTCTAGCTACCAATTCAATTGTACTTTTACAGGATGCTTTTATTATGTTCCAGTGGTTATGGTTTCTGCTAATTTTCACTCAACAGTGTAACTATGTCTAGGTTTTAAAGGGGTTTTCTATTGCTGCTAGTGTTCCAAACATGTTCTCGCTACAAACGACCAAAACATAGGGGTTTAAATGGACTTGAGTTACAATTACAGCAATAAGTAGCTGAATACTTGGCTGAAGTCCTGTCTTCTTTTTCTTTTATAGGGATTTTTTTTCAGTTTTGTATTCTGATATGTAAGATGGTAACAACTTACTTTCCTAAGTGGAGGATTTTTTTTGTTGTTGTTGTTGTTTAAAAAAATAAAAGTTTAAAAGCAGAGCTTTGATGCAAAACTTTCTTTGAGAAGTTAATGTGTTCCTGAATGCTGCTTGCTTTTCTCAGAACTTTCCAAAAGGGGAAAAATGATACTTGACCAAAGAATTGTGATTTTTAATGGCCCAGTAATAATAGGTACTGTTATATCTTTTATGCAACTTCTGTTGAAATCAGGAATTACACCTAAGTTGTCAACTAAATTGTTCTATAAAGATACTGTATTTTAGGTTTATTTAATTTATCAAATGCACTCTTATGAGAAAAGAGTGGTTTTCCCCCCTGTATTTAAGGACTTCATGTGGATTTGATTAAAAACTCTGTTGTCGTCTTGGGAGCTGTAAACAGTGGGCCTTAAACTTCTTAGGTGGACTCTAGCTTTGCTGAAGTTGGTAGGAGACTCTAACTAAATTAGTGCCTTTGCTTATTAACAACTGGCTATCTAAACATAGGTAGACTTTTGAGTTGGTGGTTTGTTTTTTTTTTTTAAAGTATCCAGAGTTGTATGTGAGTATTTTAAGTATATATGGAGAAAATGGTGAGTTAGCATACTCTTTTTTTTTTTTTTTTTTTTTTTTTAAAGTGTTGTGAT